TACAGTCACCTCCGAATTTCTTCCCTCCTACTTGCAAAATGCCTTTTCTTAGTAATTGTCTAAAGCAGGTAAATGATGAGCCCTCAAGGTACTATAACAGGATGCGCTGGGTGGAATTCACAGCCTTCAGTATTTAGCCATAGGAATAGGAAAAAAAAATTTTTCTAACTTTTTTTTTTTTTCTTTTTTTTTTTTTTTTTTTTTTTCAGAAGAGGTAAACTGCAATTACTGAGCAAGGGGGAAGGGATATACCAGTAAATCTGATCTTAATCCAGGTCATTCTACATTTATAGACACCAAGATCAGAGGGCCCATTATGCATTTCAGATTCACAACACTCATCAGCCAACAAGCAAATAGAGGAATGACTATAAAACCAACTTTAAAAGAAAGTGTAAGAGATGAAGAAAAGAAAGAATCGAAAGATTTCCCTCTCTCTGCTAGGGCTGAGTTAACTTGCATTTCAAGGTGCAGCTACTTAGAAGCTGAAGCTTAATGGCTTGAATTATTAATTTATTACTTAAACAACAAGACAGAATTTTAGGGAACCACCCAAATACCAAATTCGTGCTTGGGTCTTTCATTATGAAACTCCCCTTGGTATAATTTCTAGATGCATTTCACTCATTAAATGTTTTACTCCATTCCTTTAGTCTTCCATTATTAAACACTAATTTTAAAAATTCTCAGCTCAATGAATGGGAAATGCTTTTCTTGTCATCTTTTTTTCAGAAGTTCCTGATTTAGCATTTTCATGGTGCCTCGTTAGCAACCCTCTCTCGCTCACCAGACATTTCACGTAAATAGGTAACCTTTAATGCAGTTAGTAGCTTTTATGTTTTAATTTTCACAAGCCCAGAATAGGTTGCTCTTTAGACAGGACACTAAAGATAGCTATGAATTGGTTTATAAAACATCAAAGCTATTGTAATTGTTTACAGAGTTTATCATTAGCACATTATTATTCTGAAACATATGAGTGTAAGACTTTACTAGCAGGGCAGCGTGAGCAATGTGCCAGCCTGTTTCACTGTCAGCAGACACACAGAAGTAATAATTTTATTGTTGCACATTGTCAATAAAATCAGGGTATCCATACATTGCCTAAACTATACATTATTCTGCTCCAGCTATTCCCCAGTATGGTAAGGTTTGCAGGCAGGTAAAGTCCTTTGAGGTTATACAGGCATAAAGCAAACAAACCAGAAAATAGAACAGCTCTCCCCCCACAGCCCATGCAGTTAATATATGAGGATCAGACTTCACAGGCTGAAGCGGAGCCATTTATTTTTAATATATCTATGAAGACTGTGTCAATTTTCCAGCTTGTCTGTCACAGTTTCCTTTCAGCTCCTACATTCCCCCCTCACCCAGCTGCACAGAGCTGGGGGAACACGTGTGCTGTGGAGCTGGAGGACGGAGGAGGATGGCTGTGCTGGAGGGACAAAGTCTAGAGGCGTTTGTCTACTTGTTTACAACAAAATGAAGGGGCAGAACTGCCACCCTGCTGCTCCGGCCACCCTACAGCAGCCAGCCCCAAACACAAATCTCTGGTAGGGCTGGAGAGGACAAACACGGCCCCACAAGCCCTGCCTGACCACCTTCCATACCAGTCTACCCAAGGCCAGAATAGCATCCACCCTAAAGCGTCACACAAGCCTTTCTGAAGCAAACAGCACTTCCAGGCCAGATTTCAACAACAGCAAAGGACCACTACAGGGTGTGCAGGGATGAGTTTCACCACAGGAGAAGGCAAACCAATTGCAGAGGGCAATGCAGACTGGAGCACTGGCCATGGGGACAAGCATGAAGACACACCGTGCATGCAGAAGCACAAACGGCATGAAGTAGAAGCGATCTCGCCAACTAGAAGTCTTTAAACTGGGGGAAATGCAGAGAAACTCCAAAAAGATTTAATTTGCTTGGAAAAGCCTACTAGAGATTCTTGCTACCAAACAGCTTCTGTTCCTTTTTGGAGCTCCTGCAGCCGTTTGCTCTCTGAGTATTTCTTAATGAGGTCAGACAGGAGCAAGGGATAACAAACATTTCCCTTAAAGTGTCCCCTAATGTGTTTTTTTTGTTCTTCAAAAGCAGGTAAGCAGAGCAAAACTGGGAGCAGTCGGCTCTCAGAGAATGCCACACTTGCCATTTGTAGTATTTTAATTTTCATGTCAAACGAAGCTGCCAGCACTGCTTTGAAGCTTCTGATTTACTATGGTCAGTCTTCCAGCCAAGCACATTGATAAGAAACTTCATTAAAAAGAAAGCTGCAATCCATGTGTTCGTAAATCACTTTCTCTGTGTACACAGAGCAGAGATGTTTGCTTACTGCTTCAATAGTACACAGAGGCAGAGAGCCCCAGAGGAAGGTATATTCTCATCTGGGATCAGGCCACAGCAATGGATCAAACCGCTTTTAATGCTAATGAAGCTGCTTAGTTTTAAAGCAATATTTATAAGGGAAGGAGATTTTTTTTTTTTTTCCTAAAAAAGGCTTCCAAAGAGAAGATGGGGTGGTTGAAAGAAAGCAGCAGCACAGACCTACGCTGTACAACTGTGTTTCGGAGCTCCTTTAGGGCTGCTTTGCATTGCAACATGTGGTTGATCCAAGAAGAGCTTACAGGATCATAGAATCATATCATAGAATGGTTTGGGTTGGAAGGCACCTTAAAGGTCATCTAGTTCCAACCCTCTGCCACCGGCAGGGACACCTCCCACTAGACCAGATTGCTCAAAGCCCCATCCAGCCTGGTCTTGGATCTGCTGCCCTCTTTTTGGTCACTTGACTTCCAGGCATTTGGTTGGAAATTCTGGTGG